TGCGCGACGTAGGCTCCGCGTGTAGCGAGCCTGTACATGTGTCTAAAACTTTCTACCGAAGCTGAAAAGTAGTTTTTGATGAAGTTAATGATGTTGTCTATCATCACTGGAAGTTAAATGCCACCCAAAAAGAAAGCAAAAGCTGAAAAGAAGAAAGAAAGTAACAACAAAGGAAATCAAGGTCAGTCATTGAACAGTGTGCTAAGTCACGACAGTGTTACGTGTTTTTCGAGCTCGTACTCGGGCCAGGTTAGCATGAGCGAGCAACAATTCTACCCAGCCCCTAGTCCACAACCACCACAGTTTTTCAATGCTGCTAGTCCGCCTCAATTTATGAATATGAATTATCATAACCTTCAGTCCCCGACTATGGTGTACCCCGTGCACGGACCACCCAACGTTAACCCCACCATGCATGCATATATAGAAGCTACCCCTAGCTGGGCCCAGGCACTAATTCTTAAAGTAGACGAGATGAAAGACAAATTAAGTAAATTGGATGTCATTGAAAAGTCACTCGTCGACGTTAAAAAGGATGTTAAAAATCTCAATGATAGGGTGACCGAAGTTGAAAAAAGGCAACAGTTCATAAGTAAAAAATACGAGGATAACAGAAAAGGAGGGAATGACGTCGGTAAGGATGTTGAAAAGTTGAAGAAGGTTTTGGATTCGACTATCGAACGATATCACAACTTGTCGGACACAGTGGTTGATATAGAATCGAGAGCCTTCAAGGACACTCTGATTTTCTTCGGGGTACCCGAGGGGGCGCTCAACGACGAGGACGATAACAAGATGGAGGAGAGCAGTCAGGCGGACGTACATGTAACAGGGAGCGGGGCGATGAACAGGGACAGCGGTCAACGAAGGGTTGAAGACTGTGTGAAACGAGTAACCAATATATGTCGCGATAAATTACAAATTCGTGAGGAGTTATTTCTGATTGAAGCACAACGTATGGGTCCTAAATCTTCCGAGAGAATCCGTCCAATTAAAGTGAAATTTCAATCATTCGCGCAACGCGAGGTGGTTAGGAAAAGCTCTAAATATCTGAAAGGAAGTGCTATTTATATCAACGAACAGTTCCCCAAGTGTGTCCAGGAGTCCAGGAGAAAGTTGTGGCCTGTGTGTAAGAAGGCGCGTGCCGACAACAAGCGAGCGGTCCTGGTGAGGGACAAGCTGTATATAGATGGGGAGTTGTACACGGGGCACGGGTCACCATCATCAGCAGCAGCACCTCCCAAAGGGCCGGGCAAACGTACTACAGGTGACAGTAAATAGGACCACGCAGAGAATGGTCAACTACGGACAATATCGTGGAATGTCAATGGAGGTCTAGGTACAAAAATAACTGATCCAGTATTTACAAACTATATTTCAACATATGATATCATTGTTCTAACTGAATGTTGGATACCGAATGATTATAACTTAGATATTAATGGCTTCTATTCTATGTGTATACCAAGAACATTGTCAAACCATACACAAGGGGGTGGTATCGTTGTTTTAATACGAGAAAAATATAAAGAGTATATTACAATTGTTAAAACTTTGTATGATTCAGTTGTATGGTTAAGATTAGACAAAGTAATGTTTGAACATAGTAAAGATGTTTTTATGGCAGGAGTTTATATCCCGCCCAGTAGATCAAATTATTATGCACAATATAATTGTGATTTATTTTTTGAAATTGAAACCTCTATAGCCGAGTACTCAAACTTAGGTGAGGTCATTTTGATTGGAGATTTTAATAGTAGAACTCGAAACGATGATGATTTTATTGAAAACGATGATTTGGTTAAAAATTTGCAACAAAATGTACGTAACTTTTTCAATTATGAAAATGATGTTAGTATGGATAAACGTATTAACCCAGACAATGTCCGCAATGAATATGGTACAAGACTATTGAATTTGTGTAAAGCTACAGGACTGAGGATACTGAATGGCAGAGACCCAGAAAAGTTTTCAAATGATTTTACATTCAATGGTACAAATGGCATGAGCACAATTGATTATCTTATAGCGAATCCTGTACTTTTCCCGCATATTAAAACTTTCATTGTATGTAACTTCACTGAATATTCTGACCACGCCCCCCTACACGTTGAACTACGAGTGAGGGTATCGCGGGACGCGCCCATCACAGTCGAGTCAACTGGTGTAAGTAGACCAACATATAAATGGAATGAACAATATAAAGAACAATGCTTAGTTGCAATCAGGGAAAATATAGACAAGATTAATCAGGTTGCAACTATTGACGGGGAGACAACACAAGAGGCCATAAATTCCAGTGTTTACAAATTCACGCATGAACTCTTACAAATACTATCACCGTTTATTACGAGGTCACGCGGGGCATCACGTGACAGCGCGACAAGGTCACCAGCCGAATCCATTCCACGTGCACGAGTTCGACAAGATAATAAGCCCTGGTTCGACAGGCAGTTGCGTGCTTTGAGGGGAGAATACCTGACTGCATTGAATAATTTTAACAGAAATAAATGTGATGAAACTCATGATCTTTTAATACGGNTTTCCCGCATATTAAAACTTTCATTGTATGTAACTTCACTGAATATTCTGACCACGCCCCCCTACACGTTGAACTTACGAGTGAGGATATCGCGGGACGCGCCTATCACAGTCAAGTCAACTGGTGTAAGTAGATCAACATATGAATGGAATGAACAATATAAAGAACAATGCTTAGTTGCAATCAGGGAAAATATAGACAAGATTAATCAGGTTGCAACTATTGACGGGGAGACAACACAAGAGGCCATAAATTCCAGTGTTTACAAATTCACGCATGAACTCTTACAAATACTATCACCGTTTATTACGAGGTCACGCGGGGCATCACGTGACAGCGCGACAAGGTCACCAGACGAATCCATTCCACGTGCACGAGTTCGACAAGATAATAAGCCCTGGTTCGACAGGCAGTTGCGTGCTTTGAGGGGAGAATACCTGACTGCATTGAATAATTTTAACAGAAATAAATGTGATGAAACCCATGATCTTTTAATACGAAGGAAACGGGAATACAAACGTTCTGAAGCCGCATGTAAAAGGCAATATAGGAAGGTCGAGGGAGATATGATGGAACACTTACAGAAAACCAATCCACGTTATTTTTATAAAAAATTCTCAAGTACAAAATCCACTGTTTCAAATGTGTCGTTGGATGAATTTTTTAATCACTTCAAGGAGGTAGCCACGAATCTCGACCCGCCGGATAATGATTACCTAGAAGGAAATGTTGATAGGAACACTGTGTTTGATGAACTTGACCGTAGTATATCTACAGACGAAATTAAATGTGCTATCAAGCGTCTAAAACGAGAAAAAAGCGCATGGTTTAGATAGGTTACTAAACGAATATTTTATTGAAGCTCGTGACATTTTACTACAAGCCTTACATACTATTTTTAATAATGTATTTAACTCTGGATGTTTCCCTGAAGAATGGTCTAAAGCGGTGATGGTCCCGGTGTTTAAAAAAGGTGATAAAAACGATCCTAATAATTATCGTGGAATAAGTCTCCTGAGCTGTATGGCGAAACTTTTTACATCTGTACTGAATAAAAGACTAGTAGACTGGTCGGAGTCGAATGACATTATCACAGATGCACAGTTTGGTTTTCTTCCTGGAACAAGTACGGTTGACGCCATTTTCGCGCTTCATGCCATTATTACAAAATCTCTAAATGATAGTAAACGTTTATATTGTTGTTTTGTTGACTATAAGAAAGCGTTCGACTCCGTCGATCGTTGTAAATTGTGGTATAAATTGTCAAAATTAGGAGTTCGAGGAAGGCTGTTATCAATTTTGAAAGCCATGTATAAAAAAGTTAAGACATGTGTCTCATCTAAGGGAAGATGTTCCGATTTTTTTGCAAACAACATGGGTCTCGCCCAAGGGGAAATTTTATCCCCAATTATGTTTTCAATGTATGTAAATGACTTTGAAAATGACTTTATTGCTAACGGTGTTAAACCGTATGATTTTGGAGAACTCAGTCTCTTTTTATTAATGTATGCGGATGATTTGGTGCTACTTGCAGAATCAGCCAATGAGCTACAGAATATGTTAAATAGTTTGTCTATATATGCGAACTCATGGAAATTGACCGTTAATACGGCAAAAACTAAGATTGTTGTCTTTAGAAATGGAGGCCGCTTACGAAATAACGAGGAATGGTTCTTCGATAGAAAAAAAATAGAAGTCGTTGAACAGTTTACTTATCTAGGTATTGATTTTAAATGGAACAATAAATTTAATATTGTACAAAAGCAATTATCCGGGCAAGGTCGAAAGTCAGTATTTGCCTTATATACAAAATGTAAAAATATGAATTTAAACTGCCATACTTTGATTAAACTTTTTGACACATATGTTACCAGTATACTGTGTTACGCATCTGAGGTATGGGGCTCGTGCAAAGGCATAGATATTGAGAAAGTTCACCTGGAATTTTGCAAAAGGATATTATGTGTTAAGAAGTCAACATGTAATGTAATGATCTATTTTGAATTGGGTAGATTTCCGATTGTACATACCAGACACTATAATTTAATTAAGTACTGGTTCAAGCTTTTAAATACTAAGAACTGTGTTCTTAAAACTGCCTATGATGAACTCATGTATATGCCAAAGCGAAATACTGTTTTTAATTGGGTAACTTTTGTGAAAGACAAACTTTTTTCACTCGGTCTTGGCGAAGTGTGGCTGAATCAAAATAATGTGAACTCGTCTGAAGCCCTGCCAATTATTAAACAGAGAATCTTTGATAACGCACGGCAAGAATTGTTTGAATTATTAGAGAATTCCTCGAAATGTTTTTTGTATAGACATTTAGTTGATAATTTAACATTACAACAATATTTATGTAAATATATTCCAAAGCGAAATAGAATTGCTCTAACTAGGTTACGTTTATCAGCGCATACGCTGTATATTGAAACTGGGAGATATCGAAACATTGTAAGAAATGAACGTATATGCAGAATTTGTAACTCTGAAGATATTGAAGACGAATACCATTTTTTGTTCATTTGTCCATTTTATCAAGTTTTAAGAGAAAGACGTATAAAATTGTACTACTGGAAAAAACCATCTGTTTTCAAGCTGATTCAATTATTAAGCACAACGAACGTTAAAGAATTAACTATGTTAAGTAAATATATATATGATGCCACCCAGTTGAGGAATAGCATGATATAATGTTAAAATATATGTTACTACATGCATTTTTTGTCCATTCTCCACTGCGTTTTTGCAGTGTCTGCCACTGTATTTATATGTATTGTGTACATACTGATGAGCTGTAAAGCTCAAAGTCAATAAATGAATTTGAATGA